ATAAAGTTAATTGGACCTCAGACCTGCCATTAACTTTAGTACCTAGCACTAACTATTTGGCGGGCAACTTTTATGAGCTGGATTGTCCCTTCTGACCATGGACTTTAGACGTAAGCAGCTATCTTTTTTCCTTCCTGCAAACGCCGCGTTGACTTGCGCACGCCCAACACCGACAGCCTCAGAACACCGCCATTTTGCAATGGAGCCCTCCTTCAATAACGTTCAGCAAGCATATACTGCTCGTTTGCCTTCCTTCGCTGGCCGGCCGTTGCCAATGCACCATGCGGACTTCATGGCGGACATCATGACGCAGGCTGCGCCGCAGCGGATCTTAAATACGCGAATTCTTACAGACCTTGACAATTATCAGCAATTAATCCCTGGCGCTAAAACGTTCAAAATACGAAAACAATTTTGGTTTCGGCGCTCCTTAGTGCCGCTAGTGGAAACACCGTCACACTAAGTCCACACTAGCACATAGTGTACCGGAGATAGTGTTCGGACAAGTGGAAACACCCTGTTAGTGTACGGGGTGTTTCCACTAGGCATTACGGTTCTCCGCCAGGAGTGCCCCAACCGCCAATTTGTTTGATGAATATTTTCTACTATCATTAGTAGTATCAATATATGCATTTAGAACGGCGAGAGACGAGTCCAGGACGAAGAACATTCAAACTTAGTGTTAGTGTTCGGCCAAGTGGAAACACCCTGTAAGTCCCTTACCAAAATACCCTACCTTACCTTTTATTCATTTATGAAATATATCCACAATTTTACTTGGACAAGCTGTTCAAGGCGTTGTTGTGTACATTCTATATATCGGATTCAGGCACAGCAATTATGCTAGGGCGCAGCATTGTATTCTTAATCGTTCCAGGATTGATCCCGACAAAGAGTGGGATATGGATCCCCTGAGGGTGGATGCACCCCCATGCCGAAGGACGGTGATGGACCCCGTTACAGGGACCTGCGAGCCTGTGCGAGCCGACCAGGAGCGGGCGCTGCTGAAGCATTGATGACGGCTGCTGCCCTTCTGCGAACCGCATTTCATTCTTGGGTGCGGGTGCAGCGTTCTGAATCACATCTGTACACATCTGTGATTCTGCTGGGGTGTTGGGCGTCGTTTGTCCTACACCTGAATCGGCTAGCTGCGCGTGTCGTAGCTTGGGAAGACTTCCTGTATCCTCTGGGGGAAGCTGTGGAGGAATACGTAGGATACATTTACGTGTGATGCCGATTGCCCATTATGTATTAAATGCCGCTAGTGGTCGTTCCGTGCATGAGGGGGTCCCCTTGCTTGCCTGTCGTGCTTGCTTATCGGCACGTTGAGAGGCCTGGCCATCGCTTGACACGCTTGGCTCCTCAGAACAAAAGATAAGTAGTCGCTGACAGCATAGAGCTCACAGTCACTACCATATGGTTAGCTACCTGGACTAAGCCGCTGCGTATGTCAAAGCAATGCCTTCTGATGGACGGTTTGCCTGTAAAAGGCTTGCTTGTCGTGCTCGCTCGTAGCAAAAGCTATTTGCTGGGTCTTCGCGACGTGTAAGAAGGGTTGTCCCGCGCGTTGATTGGGCAGGGGTTGCAACAGGACAAGCAGCGCGTGGGTTTCTTGCTGCCAGGTCCTCGGGCATGTGTGCTTAATAAAGCGAAACTCTTTAAGGCCTCCTTACGTGGCTTTACGTCTTATCTTAATAATTCAACGCCCTAACCTAGTAGTTCACATCGCGAGGTGAAGACACCAATCTAAACGGGAGCAGGTTGCTGGAGATCTCCTGCTTTAGCCCAAGATATGCAAGCGATGCAAATAAGAATCTCGACACAGAACCTTCGAGACGTTTGAGCTTCAGGGTCAAACCCCAGTGCCCAGTCCTTGTTCCACGCATCACGGTGATGAGGCTGCATCGAATTCAAATTCGGCCTTACCAGCTAAACACTAGATAGTAGATAAATTTGCACAAGCGCTTGCAATTCTTGTTAGATTTCTGTCTGAGAGTTTCCGTTCCGTGCTGTCGTGCTTTGGGCCTGCACGCCATGCATGGTGCGGCGCTCGAAAAAAGGCGCGGACGCCAATAATCAAGGCCTGGCTTACAAATCTGGAGCTGTAGTCGGCAAGTGTTACTTCATTACTATGTAGCATATTGGCTGCATGGAACCTCCGTGTCTATCCCTATCCGGTCGAAACGTTGGCCCGCAGAGTTCACGCTTTACAGGGCAACGTTCCGCTAGTTGCCCGTTAGCTACAGGGTATTGACAATCGCCTTGCTTACATGGAACAAACGTGACCGCTAATTCCACGACCTCGTCACCGATGGATGCCAACTTAGGTGGCTATGCTCGGGAGTACCAAGCTGTGTATGATTCTTACAGGCAACAAGGGGTTTCAGAAAGGGACGCCAGGCGCCTAACAAATGCATGCTTCAACCGGGTGATTTTGCACCAACTCAGCAGGACAGTGAATGCAGCTCAAGCCACTGCCAATCAAAATACATATAGCCAGAATGCACTTAATCAAGATCAGCAGGAACGTTACCGGCGGGAGCAGGAGCATCGTCTTCGCCGCGAGCAGGAACGGCAACGGGAACTGCAGCAGCATCAAGAAGCTGCTCAAGCAAACGAAGAAGGCGGTGAAGAGGTGCGAGCAAAGTAAATGCCACGGACGTCAGGGTGGCTACGACACTCTAGACTTTTCCGTGTGACTCGCACTTCGCTCGTGTCCCTCATTTCTCGAACTCGGGCTTTCGTTGCACAAGGCACCTGTCCCCATGCGCACCCGCGCAACCCCTCTCATTTGCGTGTCACGCCATTTACTGCAATCAAATGCGGTGGTGGCTAATCCACTTTCCTCGAGTCCGTTGTGCCTCACCCCGCTTACAGTCATCTGGGTCTGGAAGGTTTTTCACTTCATCCCCCCAGCCGTCCCCGGGCTGTGTATGTGTGTGTCCATAACCTGAAAAGCTATTGATCTAAATCGGGTCCCAGCACTACATGGAAAGAAGGCCTTACGAAAGAACTGTGGGCTGTGCCAGCTGCACCGGCTGGTTTACTCTCCATGAGGCGGGCGTTCGCTAGCACTCTTTGATAGGGTCACTGTGTATGATCCATAATTAGCCGTGTTTGAGAGCCCAACAAGTAGGCACCTTCGAGACAGCCGGATCTGGACGTTTGGTGATCCTCCTCCTCACAGCATACACACACACCATCCGTTTCCGCGGGCCCGAGCCCGGCACTCCTACCCCGTTCTCCACCCCGACCCTTTCCTCCCTTGCAGGACGGCGAGGGTCAAGTGGAGATCTACGAACAGTACAAGTGAGCCTGATTCCTCCTCTTGAATTATTGAATTTCCATCAAAAGGAAGCGGAAAGGGCTTTTTTTGTGTTACGCAAAGTGGGGTTTACAATGCAGTGGGTAGCGTTTATCAAGCTCGCGTCCACAGGTTCTTAAGGGTTGACCTGGACCGATTGCTGGGGACCCCCTCCAGTTTTCCAACGCGTCACCAGTTTCCCTAAGGCTAGGATTATTCTTGCCCCCGTCCTTGGCCCTGTCCGGGGCCATGATGTAAAGACACGGGCCCAGACGGGACGGGAAGGTGGGCGCTGCATGACAGGGGCGCGTCTTGACGGGCACGATCGGGTTTGCGATAGCTGCCTGACGTGAAGTAATTAGGTTGTCGTGAAATTTTACCCAGCTGGATCACATGTTGCACCCCTGCGTGAGCGATGCGTTGTATCCGTGTGATATGTGCCAGACGTGATACGGTGAACGATACTGTGAACGAAGCTCCACGGTGTGGTGGGGCCCTGGCGGTGGCCCTGGGGAGGGAAAGTGGGGAGCTAGGGGTGCCGGCACTTGCGCGCCTTGGTACACTGTGCATGTCAGGGGAGAGGGAACAGCCGGGACGAGGCGGGACTGTTGCTGGCGTTCGTTCTTTCACACTGAAATGATGATTCCAGGCAGCTGTACCTGAGCACCTACGCCCTTTGCTCTGCCCTGCTCTATTTTTTTAACCCTTTATCCGATTTTGTTGCTGCTGCTGCTGCTGCAACAAACAGCTGCTGGTATCTGGCTTATTCGCGTCTTGGTTATGTCTTCAGAGTTCACTCTGGTTGTCAACTCCCGACCCGCGCACACACATGCCGCACCCACCCAGGCCCGCCAAGGTGACGGAGGGACCGCCCCACCCGGACCCCATTGTGGAGACCGCGTCACTGGCGTCCGTGACACCCCCCGACATCACGTACAAACACCACTTGCATGTGAGGCAGCCAGTGTGCAGGGCAGGAGGGGGGGCAGGGGATGGGAAGCGGGTGGGTTGGAAAAGGAGGGCGGGGAGGAGGAAATGGGTTTGTGGGGTTCGTGTGGGAGTCGAGTGTTCGAGTATTTACGATAGAGGTGGCCTTGCCGCACTTGCAGAAAATTGCCATTGCTACGTATTGTCATGCACCGTAGATGGTGTTTTTAACATCATCCACCTCTGCGGTTATTACGTTTATCCTATCCTATAGACACTTTTTAGCCGTCCTCATTAATTCCTCTTTGAAAACCTGAACTGGAATCTCCTGGAAGGATAATTTGGAGCGCGCGGAGCTGTCCAACGCCCAGCTGGAGACGGTATTGTACGCCTTCCAGCGGTTCGAGCGGAGGCTGCCGGACGGTGAGTGACGGCGGGAAAGCAGTCCAGGACCGGGGGGGTACGGCAAAGGGAGGGAACGGGGGGGTTTACGGCAAAGGGAGGGAACGGGGGGGGTTACGGCAAAGGGAGGGAACGGGGGGGTTACGGCAAAGGGAGGGAACGGGGGGGTTACGGCAAAGGGAGGGAACGGGGGGGTTACGGCAAAGCGGGAGAACGGGGGAAAACCATATGCGAGGAAGGCGGGGGGCAAGGGAAAGGAAAGGCCCTGGGTGTGTTTTGGGACGAGCCTTTTCAATAATGGACGGCTGGTGGCCTCTTGACTGGTAATGACAAGATGGTAATCAGTGGACAAAGGTAGATAAAGGTTTGGTGAGGGAGGGTGAGGTTTCGGTGAGTGGTAATCAAGCCAACTGGTTAGGGGAGAGTGTAGAAAGGGGGCGCTAAGAAGGAAGGAGCACCGGAGGGAGCGACACGCCTGGGTGCTGAAGGGAATACCGGGTTTCTCAGGAAAGAGAAGGGGCAATAGTGAAGGAGGAGGAGGAGAATGGGTGGGAGGGCAAGTGGCCCGCACGCCTGCTGCTGCTTGCGGCAGCAAGATCAGATCGCCAAACGTGGGCATTACCCGCCCCGCCGAAGTATGTGTACGAAATCAACTCTCGGTCGCCATGGTTTAAACGACAGATCTGTTCCAGTGACTACGAACAAAAGGAGCTGAATATGCTCTTTTTCCATCTTCAATGAGAAAGCGGACACCTTGCTCGTTTTGGTTTTTTTAAGGCACTGCCCGCTGTCGCTTCGTCCCTGTCCAGGCAACCGCGCGGGGTTCTTTCTGGGTGATGGCGCGGGTGTGGGCAAGGGTCGTCAAATTGCAGCGGTGATCAAGGAGTTTTGGGCTTCCGGCGGTCGCCGCGTGTTGTGGGTTTCAACTTCCAACGACCTGCGGTACGATGCCCGCCGAGACTTATCGGACCTGGGCGTAGCGGAGAAGGAAATACCCGTATACCCGCCGGTGAGCGGATGTGGGTGGGGGGGTGGGGGGAAAGGTGGCGGGATGGCATGTGGGTGTCAAGCAACGTAATTATTTATCACAACCGGCATCATAATTTTCCAACAAAATATTATATTTGGATGTGGGTATGGATGATGGAGAAGGTGGGGGCTCATGTGCCTAGTACTTCGGGGAGGACGAGGTAGGGGTCGGATGGGGAGATGAAACGGGGGTGATGGAAAAAGGGGGTTACAGGGCTCTGCTTTGGCTGTACTTTGCCGAGTGAACCAGGGGCTGCTGTCACCACTTGCTGGGTCCTGCAGCGGATTCCCACCTTACCTAAGCCTCCCGGCCACCATCACAGCCTCTCACAGCCACTGGGAGAGCCCTTTTCCGTACCGTCCTCCGTTCTGGAAGCATCTGTTGTCGTTTCGTGGGTCTCATAACATCAGTCGGTCGGTTATTTTACCTACCTCTTTTGCCCTTGCTCATGTCACGGCCAGCCGGGCTTCCTTTGCATGCAGAAGTAACTACTTTACAAAAGTAAGACTCACCCTGGCCGCGCGGGCGGATGGATCAAGTATTGAGACCTGTAATTGAGTCGCGGACGAGGATTACTGGCCTCCTATCCTGTTCCCGCCTCCCCTACTACTACAACTAACTAACTGCCATCACAACCACTATTACCACAACCGCCAACATGTGACCAAACAAATATAACCGTCATCATCATCTACTTGGCCCTGCAGCGGAAGGACAGCGTGCCCGCGGGCAATCTCGACCGCATCTACCCCAACGGCGGTGTGCTGTTCATCACGTACTCGCTGCTGGTCTCCAAGGGGTCGTACAAGCCGCCGGCTGCATCCACAGGGGGAGGGGGAAAGCGGGGGCGCAGCAGCGGCGGAAGCGGCGCCGCTGGCGGCACCAGCGGCACTGGCGGCCGGGGCCGGGGCCGCGGGGGCGCTGGCGGCATGTATGCTGGCGGAGAGGAGCAGGGTGACGAAGCAGCGGGACGTAAGTTGTGCGGAGCGAGAGAGACAGGCGTTGAGACAGGCGTTGTTTTGGCGGCACGAGGAAAAAAGGGAAGGAAGAAGGGATGGAAGAAGAGGAGACCATGCCACATTCTAAAATGTGTGCCATTCGGATGCGCCGTATGCAGAGGACGTTGTAGTGTTCACCTCCCTCCCCAGATGTCCACCTCCCTTCCTACGTACTTACGATCAGCTATTGATGCTTTGGACGTCGGCAGTTGTTGTTTCTTTGACTTGGCTTTTTGACTTTTACATCTCACTGAACTACCTACCTACCTACCTACCAACGTTGCAGAGGTTACACACCAGGGTCTTACCCAGGGAAGCACCAGGGATGCTGGGAAGCATCCCTGGGAAGCACCCAGGGTCCCACACCAGCATCTCATCTCGTTGTTTCTGCTTGCTTCTCCGTCCCACCTTCCCGTATTGGTGTGTGGGGGGGGCCGCCTCGCCGGTAAGCGCAGGTGTGCTTGAGGCGAAGCGCGCCGAGGTTCGGCGGTTGTTCGGTGTTGGCTCCCGACTGCACCAGATCGTTAGCTGGCTGGGAGGCCCCAAGGGCGATGGAGAGTGTCTCATCGTGCTGGACGAGTGTCATAAGGCCAAGAACCTCCTGGATGCGGCTGGAAGTGAGTGTTGGGGTCGCGGGTGTGTGTGTGTGTATTTGAGGGCGGGTGGGGGGAATGGCTAGGGGAAGGAGTGGGTAGTGGGGGCCGTTAAGGGAATCGGGAGGAGGTTGGGGGAGGGGAATTGGGGAATTATACTTATAAATGATTAAAAGGAAGGTTTAATGTAGATATGTGTGTATATGAAGCACCGATTGCCGGAGTCCAAAGCAGTCCTGCAACTGCGCGGATTGTTTTGGGTTTTCTTAGGTCCCCAGAATTCTGGCATTTCCAATCCATTTCCTGAACCACTTCTCCTGTGGTGCATTCAATCACATATCTCCACACCTCTACTTCTGCGGCCGGCCGCAACCCCACTCTTTCCTTGGCAGCAGCTTCATTCGTGCGTGGTTCGTAAAAAAAGCACCCCACTCCCACCCGCCCATCTTTTCCCCTTTTTCTGTCCCGGGCGCCCACCTCCCCACCTCGCCACACAGACTCCAGCCAGACGGGTTTGGCGGTGGAGTCCCTTCAGGACCAGCTGCCCAATGCCAGGGTGCTGTACAGCTCAGCCACCGGGGCATCTGAACCAGACAACCTGAGATACATGGTACGGGGCAGGGGGCTTGGGTGGGGTAGGGTGGGTGGGTGGCACTGACACTTATGGTGGTTTAGATGATGGCGGATGGGTGGTTTCCGGCTTTGGTGCTGGTGCTGGTGATGATGGTGGTAGATGCTGGCATTCTCGTGTTATTATAGTGGCTTGTATCCTGCTCAACGATGTGCACGGTCTGACGGGCCCTGCCTCTCTGCGCGTCCTGTCACGTCATTTTTTCGCCCCGACGCAGCAAGGTTGACCTTAAACCTGTTCCTCACCTCCTTTCTGTCCCCACATTCCCAACCCCAACCTTTGACATTCGAATCCCCAACCCTAGGTGCGGCTGGGCGCGTTTGACTACCCGCACATTGGCGACATGATCAACGCGCTCAAAAAGTACGTTATGTGGAAACTACAAAAAAAGAGTACTGGGGGGATTTGAAGAGGGGTATGATCATTCCTACGGTTTTGGCTTTACCGCGCCGAAGATCACTATAAGTAGCGCTCGTTGGGTAGGGAGGTGCGGAATTATTCCATGGCCTTTTTGCCATCGGCAATACAGCATGAGGGCCTGGGAGGAGGTCATGAATCCTAGGAATTCTTTTTTAAAATTCCCAGGACGACGACGACAACACAACGCAGAGCGTAAAATATCTATCATAGCACTATACAGCACATACATATCGTTTTGGTCGCCTTCGCGCGCCGTTAACCTTTGCTCTCCGCTTTTCCCTCCCCCCTCTCCCCTCACTCGTTCCTGGTTCGTCTTCTTCCTCCCCTTCATCTGTTACCACACCGCCTATCTTACTCGCACTCGTACTCGTGGGCACCACGACGGACAGATCGGGTCTGGGCGCATTGGAAATGTTCTGCATGGGCCTCAAAGCCACCGGCACCTACGTCTCCCGTACATTGTCGTACAAAGGTGCCGAATTCAGGACCGAAGAGCTGGAGATAGACCCCATCTTCAGGTATCCGCGTATTTATGTATGTATGTATGTGCGCGCATGCGTGTATGTACGCAGTTACGGAGCCTTGCACACTAGTGGATGTGGGTCTATGCCTGTTGTGTTGTGTGTGAAAAAACTTGCTAAAAAAGCTATTCTCTGTCTATATAATGACGTCCTGCATATGTGCTTGTCGTCGGCCTGACATAGGGAGAGGGTAATAATGGGGAGTGCGGCCGGCTGTATATCCGCAGGGATAGGTACAGGGCAGGGATGGGGCCGGGATGGGCGGTTTTTTCCCTCCTCTTTGCAACCTTTCAAACGCCCGATCTTTCAAACGCCCGATCTTTCCTTACATCCGTCGCATGTCGTGCATGCCTGTATGCCACGTGCATCTTTCGTACATTCAGTGTCATGTACGACCGATCCTGTTGGCTCTGGAGCCTGGTGTACAACGTGATGCGCTCACTGCCCAAGTCCAAGAACGCCCGGGGGAGGGACATGAAGGCCAGCCTCTTCTGGGGCGCACATCAGCGCTTCTACCGCCAAATGCTCATCGCGTCGAAGGTGAGCAGGGGAAAGGAGGAGCCGCAGGCGGCCGGGGGGCGTGTGTTTTGACACGGAACATCCCCACACTATACTAACCTTGCCTTCTTTGAGGTTGCGCTCTCCTCTGCAACCTGGCCTCGCAAACTGCTACTTCGTGTGGAATCTGATCATCTTACCCCACCGGGAACACCGACACGTCACTTCTGGACAGACGTTGGCAGTTGACTATTATGTGTGTGCGTGTGTGTGGGGGGGGGCGGGGGGAGAGGATCACACCATGACTCGTATGACGTGAAAGGAGTCTCCGTGGGAGATGTTAATGTCCAACTGTCCCGGAATCGTCCCGTACAACTCCCCGCCGCATTCCTATTCCAGACCCTGCTCAATACAACTCCCCACACCGCCTACTTGTCAGTTCTGCGTCTCTTTCCTTGGCAGCAGCTTGACTCGTTCACGTGGTTCGTCTTTCTTTCCCCCCACATACCCCACACACGGCCCATCCCACCCCACCCTTCCGTTACCGCGGCCCTCAGGTGTGCCGTTGTGCTGAGCTGGCCAAGGAGGCTCTAGACCGCGGCATGTGTGTGGTCATTGGGCTGCAGTCCACGGGGGAGGCCAATCTGAACAGCGCCCGGGAGTCGGCGGCGGCGGGGTCCGGCGGGGGAGGGGGAGGGGAGGACGACAGCTTGGAGGACTTCGTGTCGGCACCCAAGATGATCTTGCATGTGGGTTCGGGGATGAGGGTGGGGGTGGGGATGGGGAATGGGGGTGGCGATGACCTTGGGAGGGAAACGACGTCAATGGTGGCCTTCATTATTTATTACTTATTACTACACTATACCAAGGACGTGTTGCTCAAGAGGTCGCTTTACCGGGGTTGTAGTGGTGGAACAAAAGCTTTGGGTGGGTGGGTGTGTTGGGGGGGGGGTAAATGATGCTTGGGTTGTCCTTTCGAGGATGCTGATGATGGCGGTTTTTAGGCCGCAAGGTATTGGGGGGCTTGCGGGAGTTGGGGCAGTTGCGAAATGGGGCAAAGCCAGGGTTGGAATTGGAAGGGTATCGGGTTGGGGCTGTGATGGTACTTTGGTTGTGATGAGGTGGAGGGGGTATGTGTGTACAGGGAGGTTTCTTTCTTTATTTTCGTGTATTGTAATCCGACAACTGGTCCCCCCGGCCTCCATGCATTCCCGCATGCGCGTGTCGACATATAATCGGAGCCCCCCACCGGCCCTGGGCAGTTATTTCTTTGATGACCTACATGTGATTTGTTTTTTGTTTCTTTTTGCTTCATGCATATATGAAGGTTTATTCTTCCTCCCCGCGTTTCTCCGTCCCGCCAATCCTACGTCCCCTCTCCCTCATCCCCTCTTTTTGTGTGTAACTCCCTAACCCCGGACCCTCTTTCCCCCCCTTCTTTACCCCCTCTTTCCCCCCTCTTCCCCCCTCTTTACCCTTCTCCCCTCCAGGGTTTCATATCCCAGTGGTTGTTCCACTTCGCGGAGCCCGTGTCCGCCTTGATGACCAAGAAGAAGATGCAAAACCTGCAGAGCGAGGTAGGTGCCACTGCATGCACCGCAACTGGACACACCGACACACTTAGACGTCACGTCTTATCTTGTCTTGGGGAATGTTACAAGTTACAAGTGCCGCACGAGTGCGGGGGGTCCGTCAAAGCCGGGAGGCCATGGACTATATACATTGAAAGTTGATTACACCGTACAACAGACGGAATTCTTGGGGAATGAATGGACACGCAAGATGATTGAGTGAATGAATGCTGGTGCAGGATCCCAAGGGGCCGTCGGTCGACCTCTCACTCTCTACCGGGGTAAACCCTAGTATTATGCTTTTTTCAAAAATTCCAGACCGAACTAAAACGTCGCTGCGGTTTGGCGCGGAATAGTCGTACTAGTAGTTGTAGTTGTAGTTGTAGTAGTAATAGTAGTGTCCCCGTACTCTCCTGTCCATCATTCGCTATCTCTGCCTCACCGCTGCATTGCTGTGTACGGTGTACGGCGTGCTGTACGGCAGGTCTATCGGGCGTGTCTGGAATGGAAGAAGCAGCCGCCGGCCGCGGAGGAGGCGGACCGCATCGCGAAACACGCGAAAATGGAGGCGGCGCAGGCGGCCAGGGCGGCATTGCGCGCCGCCGCTGCCACTGCCGCTACCGCTACCGGCGGCGCTGGGCCCTCCTCCGCGCAGCAGCCCGCAGCCGCTGGAGCAGCAGCAGCAGTCCTGGGCTCGCCGTCGGCGTACGGTACCGCAGCGCAAACCAAGCCGCCGCCACGGTACGACGAGGTGGACGAGCAGGATGATGACAGCATCGGCGTTGAAATTCCCGACTCGGACGAAGATGGGATGGACGTCAGCGGCGGCCGTGACAGTGCCACCGCTGCCGCCGCAGCTAAGGCGGCCGCTACCACCGCCAAGACGGCATCAGGCAGTGAAAGCGGCGATGAGCTGGAGGTCGTGAAGGAGCGGTCGTTGGATGAGGCCTTGGCGGTAAGACTGCGTCCGCACGGGATACGATGGGGCGGTTGGAGATTAGTTCAGACTGTACGTTCGACCCAGAGGGTCTCAGTTATTGAAGGTTAGTAACCATCGTGGCATTTGACTTTGGAACACATCGGCGGACCTTTTTGTGTTATGTTTCATTCAAGTGTTCATTGGCGAAGATAGGCTGTGGGTGTTTGTTTTTGCGCCGTGTGCCGCGTACTGAAACACTTAGAGCAGGACGTATAATATTAAAACGCTATTTCAAATGGGTTCCGCACGTTAGTGTTATTACCACCCATCATCTATCCCACCTCCACCTTCACATTTAGCTTTTGGCGTGGCCGTTCTCCCATGTTACAAGTTACATTTCCTGCACAAAAGTGTTAGGGCCATCCTTAAAAGGCACCGGATTCACGGACGGTAGGGGGCCAGTCTACCGTTGTGTTTCCTTTCATAATTTGCGACGGATTATGTCTGTATGTATGTCTGTATGTATGTTGTTACAGGGTGGTTAACTTCGCCAGCGGCCCCCTTTCCCGGGGCAGTCCCTGCTCTCCCCTGCTAGAGGGGCACCCTAATCCGTCACGCCATCCGACTTCAGAATGTATTCGTTGGGTTCGGCAACTCACCACCAGCATCCAACCAAATCTAGCGGATCAACGGCGCATCAACTTAGTTCCTGGTCAGCTCGCAAGTTGATATTATCACGTCCTACATCGTCCATATGATGGGGAGCCACCTCCCATTTCAACATTCCTCAAACACCCGAGGAGCCGGCAGGCGGTCTGTATGTCTGTCATCCTCATTCCGCTATCATCGCAATAACCCTTCAGGAACGTCGGCGACTCGCGTTGCTAGCGGGCGACATGATCGATCTGGCGGACAGCGACGACGGCAGGGAGGTGGATGCGGCAGTGGATGCAGAGCGACGGCGGCTGCTGGCGCAGGCAGACGCTGAGGAGGCGGCGGAGCTGGAGGAGGCGGAGCGGCGGCGGCGGGAGGAGCGGCGGGCAAAGCTGGAGGCCACGCTGGTGAGCGCGTCATGCGGTGTGGCAATACATACACTGTATACATCTTTTCTGTCTTTTGTTACGGCGATGGCAGATAAGAAATGTTGCCCTCTTTTGTTAAGGCGTTGCGGCCGGGGGAGCATCGTTAGCGGCCCTGCAGCCTCAGGTCTGCTAGCCCGGCATGCCATATGTTTCTGCTGTGTTTTTGCTGCGGCGACATGCACAGCTTGATCCTGCCGTTTTTGTGTTCTGAATTCCGTATTGGGGGGCTTTGCGAGTAGTGCCTCTTTCATTATGATAAATGTGGTGAAGGGTTGTTATTGGGATGAAAAGGCTGTGCGTATGATTATTACTCCGGCCATGATTTCTATGTCGGGTCCGGCTCCGAAACCAACCGATTTTACAAAAAAACATCCTGAAGGCTGAGGCGCGGGAGGTCGCTGAGAAGGCCCGCAATGAGGTACAGCGGCTGGAGCAAATGGAAAAGGAGGCGGCAAAGGGAGAGGCTGGCAACGGAGGAGGCGCGTACGGCAAAGCCGCGCCAGCGGCCGGACGCAAGGCGGCGGCACCGCGCGGCGGCGGCGGAGGCGGCGGAGGCAACAGCAACGCGGCCACCGCTGCTACTGCTACTGCTACCACGGTGGTGAATGAGGAAGGTCTCGAGGATGACATGGATTGTGACAAGGAGAACGAAGGTAGGGGTTTTTGATTGGAGGTGAGGGGTGGCGCCGGTGGTGAAGAGAAAGAGGAAAATGCCGGCGTGGGGAGGGGGGACAGTGACTTATGAACTATCAGGATGAAGGTCCTCACACGCTCGCAAACAAAACGACCCTCCTCGCTCGCTCGCCAACCAGATACACGTCACTGATACACATCACTCACAACCACTACCACTGCCACACAGGTGCTGCTCACGGGACGGCTCAGGGGCCCCCGGCTGCTGCTGCTGCTGCTGCTGGCTCCAAGCCGGCGCCGAGTGCCGCAGACCGTAGATCCCCCGTACCGGCGGCGGCGGCGGCGGTGGCGGCAGTGCCATCGGAAAGCGAGGGCGGTCAGCCCGTAACGGCATCGGCTGCGCGACGGAGGAGGTGAGATAGGGACTGTACCGTAACCTCTACATCACAGCGCGCCAAAGATGTACCACATGTTAGACACGTGTGTGCATTAGCTCTTACGCGCTGGTCGCTGGTGAAGCCGGACGGCGGCTGGCGCTGCCGGGTTATGTATCCTGATTAGGTTGCATCCTAACTTGACCCCCTTCTTAATCCAGCGGAGTTTCAGGGCTGTCCAACAACCCCCCCGGCATATATATGTATATATATATTTACATATACGTCCGGATCTCTACACAGTGCCACATATGTATATTTATATATGTAGAGATCCGGGCGTATAGCATTTCAATGTTTTTCCGGGCGTAATGCTGGCCTGGCCTGATCTGAGCTGGGCGTTGATCTGTTCCGATGACTATTCCCTTCTTAGACCCCAAGACAAGTGAATACGATGGTGTGCTGCATATGGTGCACAGGCGCCGCAGTGTTGCCGTGCTTGAAGACGAGGAGGAGGAGGAGGAGGGCGGCGGCGGCGGCGGCGCAGCTGCAGGCGGAATTGAGGACGACGGTGCTGGTAAAGATGATAACGACAATGATGATGAAAAAGACGGCGATCCACCGCACGCAGTTGTGCAACAACCCGGCGACGGCGACGGCGGCCGTTTGGCGCAGTCGGGGAGCTTTACGGCCGCCACAGCTGATGGACGCGACGGTGACGTAGCGGCCGAGGACACTAAGGAAGGGGAGGTGGAGGAAGGCGGCCGCCAGAAGCAGGGGCAGCCGACGACGTCACAAGGTGGGGGTTGGAGTTTTGTGATTCTCTTCTTCTTCTTCTTCTGCTGCTGCTGCTGCTGCTGCCGACTAGCCCCGTGCTGAGTGGAGGGGAGGGGACTAGCGGGGTGTGGGTGCCATGGGTTTAGGGTGCTTTGGTTTGGTTTGGGAGCAGGGGCTGCCTGAACGCTTCCTGCACCTCACCACCTTTGCACCTACGAATTCGAGGATGCGAGGAAGGGCACGAGGTACGCCTTCCCTTGCTTTTGCGAGGGAAGCTTCTCCCTGACCATGTCTCTGCCGCTGTGGGTGGCTCCAGCAGCGCCATTCTTTTGGGGTGTCCATAAATGATATGGGACGAAATTCCCTGTGGAGTGAATTTATTATATGTTTAAAAATATAATACATGTGTGTCCATAATTATTATGGACACCCAAACAGATCAGAATGGCGCTCAGCTGCAGCCACAGCGGCCGGAACATATTGGTGGTAGTAGCACCGTATGCTACCCGGTGCTTGTCACCCCAAATGACAAGCGCCTCCCGTCGTCTCCTTGTTTGCCTGACCTGACGTTCCCCAGGCGAGTCGAAGAAGCGCTCCCGTAGCGGCACCCCCGCCGTCGGCAGCGGAGGGGGGGGTGGGGCGGGAGGCGGCGGCGGTGCCAACCCGGAGGAGGTGGTGTCGACGCCGTTGCGCTCCGCCCGCGGGGCGGCACTCAAGGCGGCGGCGAAGATCGCCGCGACGGCTGGGGGCAGCAAAGCGCCGCCTGTGGCGGCGGGAGCGGGGGCAACCCAGCCGACGGCTACGGCGGCCAAGCCGCCCAAGGGGCCCTCCACTCGCAAGAGCGTTCCGGAGAAGGGCACCACCGGGGCAAAGTAGGTTTAATGGGTCAGTATGCCTGTTTGTATGTGGGGTTGCGGGGTAAGATCTTGACACCTTGACCCTCTTGTGTCCCTTCGAACAATATATAGTATTTCCCTTGGGCATGGGTAATGGGGTGTTATAATTACATATATTCGGGTACATATAATTACATATATTCGGGTACATAATTACATATATTCGGGTACATATATTCGGGAATCGAACATACCCACTGTGTGAGCCACTTGACGCCCCGCCCCTTTCCAGGTGCTTGTTTGTAATTGTAAGCTGGTTTTGTGGCTAGCTTTTTCTCTTTTATCAGTTTCGCACAGCCCCCCGTTCCGTTCCCACTACCATGGCATGCATTATGGAACATTCGCCCTATCTCAACTTTCGCGTTGCTTTGCTAATGCCGTCAATCGCTTTATGATGAATACACTTGAAACACATCGTGGGCACTGGTTGGGCACACATATACAGGTCTGCTGCAGCAGCGATTGCTGAAACGGAGCCGGCGCCCGCCCGTAACGGCGGCAGTGCTGGGAAGGCGGCCGGGAAGGGGGCTAAGTCAACAGCGGCAGCGGCAGCTGTTGTGGCTGCTTCGTCTGAGAGCAGCGACGGCGTCATCGTCATCACCGACAGTGAGCCGGAGGTGAGGTGCGGTTGGTTGGGATACTGTAGTGCCTGGTCCGGTGGGCTGTGGGTGGCTGTATTGAATGGGGTCGCATTGGGAGGGGAATCTTAGTAGCACGTTGGGTTACAGGGTGTTACATGGTGCGTTACAGGTTGTTAGTTACGCAGCTACACGGTGCGTTGCAGGTTGTTAGTTACACAGTTACACGGTGCGTTACAGGTTGTTAGTTACACAGCTACACGGTGCGTTACAGGTTGTTAGTTACACAGTTACACGGTGCGTTACAGGTTGTTAGTTACACAGCTACACGGTGCGTTACAGGTTGTTAGTTACACAGTTACACGGTCTTACACGGTGTTACATGGTGTAACATAGGTTACAGGGTGATTGTGTCTTCAGGGGTGATTGTTGAGAGCAGTGCCTTTGGACCTGGGACCGCACTGTCCGTGCGGTTACCTGTCTTCAATTGTCGTGTGCTGTGCTGTGCTGTGCAGCAGTGTTAACTTACGTCGTAGCATTCGTTGGGGCTGCAGAAGCTGCTGCTGAGTACTGTGTTAGCTAGCGCCGGGGTCCGTGAATACGTGCGGCGTGTACTTCCCTTGGTTTCGGAGGATACCATTCTCCGCACCCGACAGCTTTCTCCCGGAGCCTACTTGGTTTCTTTTCCTCAGCCACATGATGCCTTTTCGCCCGGTTTGCGGCCACCTGCTTGTGCCCCGACCTTTCATGAGGTGTAGGAGGAAGAGGAGGAGGCGCAGCCGAAGAAGCCGCAGAAGGGCTCCGCCGCCGCCGGAAGCAAGGCCAAGGCGAAGGCACCTGCCGCCGCTGCGGCGTCGACAGGCAAGCAGCCTGCAAAGAAGGTCACATCTGCCGCTGCCGCAGCTGCAGCCGCAGCCGCTGTGAAGGGTGTAAAGGTAAAGGAGGAGCTGGATGTCAAGAAGGAAGAGGAAGAGGAGGCACCCGCCAAGGCCCGCGGTGGTAAGGGCAAGGACCTGGGCGGCGGAGCGAAGCCCAGAGCGAAGCAGGCGGAGTCTGAAGTTGATGATGATGATGAGGAGGAGGAAAATGAGGTGGAGGAGGAGGACGATGAGGAGGAGGAAGATGGCGAAGATGAGGACGAGGATGAAGACGAGACATACGACGATACCATGTGTGCCAAGTGCGGCGGGGGTGAGAAGCCGGAGACGATTCTGTTGTGCGATGGCTGCGATGATGGCTACCACATGGCCTGTCTGGAACCCCCGCTGAAGGTACGGCGGTGTGGGTGTGGGTGTGGGGGGAGGTGTAAGGGTCAGGTCAGGCCTTGTAAAGTGGGGATAAGGAGGGAAGAGGGGGGGAAGAGGAGCAAAACCCTTCCATGCTCCCTTGGGGTAACTTTTCTGGGGCTAAGCTTTAGAAGTGACGAGCAATTACTTCACTTTGCTTTGGTCGGACTGCAACAAATCAATGCTGTGGTCGTCAGTCGGCCGTCATCTGACTCCCTTTGCGTGTTGCATGTGTGTTTTGCATGTTGCATTGGTTCTCACGTCTCCTCCCCCCCCTCATTCCTGTCGCTGCCTAATTGCAACCCGTCCTTCAGGCGGTTCCCAAGGGTGACTGGCACTGCCCCAAGTGCCTCGCTGCCAAGGCCGCGGCCAAGCGGCCCGCTGCCACGGCCAGCGGTGGTGGTGGCAACAAACCGGTGACAGGACAGAAACGGAAAGCCGGCGGCGGGGGGGACGACCCGAAGACGTGCAAGGGGGGGACAAGTGGCAACAGTAAGAGGAAAGCCCGGAGCCCTGACGAGGACGAAGACGAGGAGGAGGAGGAGGAGGAGGAGGAGGATAAAGTGGCCGTGAAGCGGCAAAAGACCGACGCGAAGGGCAGCGGTAAGGCGACTGCAACTGCCGGCGCCGCGTCCAAGGGCGCCAATGCCGGTAAAGGAGGAGGAAAGGCGGCAAAGAAGACGGCGAAGGGCAGTGGCGACGGCAAGGGGTCCCGGAAGTCAGCGGTGGAGGAGAGCGAGGACGAGGACGAGGAGGGAGCTAGCAGTGATGGGTGCCAGAAGAATGAGGATGAGGATTCTAGTGACGATGACGATGATGATGAGGATGACGATGATGATGAGGATGAGTCGGTTGAGGAGCCCGACGACTCAGATGACGATGACTTCGTTGCGGGTAGGTGGGCAGAAGTGGGTTTTAGGCGTGGGTGGGGGTGAAAGTGGTATGGGTAGGTGGGCAGGTGGGTGAGTGGGTTGGCAGGAAAGTGGTATGGATGGAGGGGTGGGTGGGTGGCTGGGATGCTGGACTGGGTAGGAGAGGCAAGTCTGGCTGCCCGCTGGCTGCGAGTCTGGCTGCCTGACGAGACTGGCTTGCACACATCTGCATTCCGTGTTTGCAAGCGTACTGCATATGTTCATCATAACGGCTGTACGTCGCTTGACTCTGCCTGTATACCTGACCTGGCAGGTGGGAAAGGAAGGAGCCGGGGGGGGGAGAAGCCGGTGAGTGGCGGCCGGCTGCAGCGAAGAGGGATGGCGTCTTCGGCGGCCCCTCGAGGGGGCCGAGGAGCGACCCGTGGGTCAGGGTCGGCACCTGCTCGATTTGGGGAGGACAGCGACGAGGAGGACGACGACGGCGGCGATGCCGGAGGCGCCGCGGGGGGATCTGTAAATATATTCAAGGTACGTCGTACGTCCTGCGCGTCCTAGGCGGGGGTTGCTGGTGTCGTCGTCGTAAGCCGCGACGGGGATTGGCTTATAGCTGTATTGCGTGCACATACACCCCTTTCCGACATCTTCTTCACTTCGTCATCCCGAGGTCGCGGTCTTCACGGACGCCTTTCGGTCAGTTCTACGTTTGATACTCTCTTGCCCTGGCAGCAGCTTCAATCGTGTGTGGTTCGTCTTCCCCCCCCCCCCGCGCGTGTCATTTTTTGCTGTCATCCGTATGTGTGTTAGTTCATACATGTACACGACAAGACAAGACCAAGTTTTGCCATTTCCCTCCCTCCTAGAGAAACTGCTCTGCTGCTACCATCTTCCCGGTTCCCGTACAATTTGCCGTAAATCTGACGACCCCTTTCCTGCCTTAGGCTGCCTTGGGCACGTTCCGCCCCGCGGCCCCCTGTCACAGCTTTTTAACTGCCCTGCCCTGCCCTGCCCTGCCCTGTCACTCTGCTGCCTGATATGCGTGTGTGTATGTACGTCTGTGTATATGCCTCTTCCTCCCGCTAGGTCCGCATGCAGCTGCGAGCCGCCCGGCAACGACTGAAGGAAGCGGAGCAGCGACTGACCACCGTACAACGCGACCTGGCAGACCACGAACGGGTAACCGCCAATAACCGTCGAGCCAACGGCGGCAACGCCAATGTAACCGCCGCCGCCGGTGGCCGCAACAACAGCAGCGACAGCGGTAACGGCGCAAGCAGCAGCGACGATGACGACGGTGTCGGCGCGGCGGTGGCGGCGGCACGGGGCCGGTCGGGTCCCCCGGAGGTGTATCGCCACGCGGCTAAGAACAAGCCGCTGGGCAAGATTCCAAGCAGCTGGAAGCCGGGGAGTGGAAAGGGAGGACGGGGCCGCGGTAGCGGCAAAGGCGGCCGGGGGAGGCAACGAAGCCGCGGCTCAGATGATGACGACGACAGGTGCGTGTGTGTGTACACGTGTGTGTATATATCGTGTATGTATGTATGTTAGTATATGAAGATATTATTTATGCAAAGGGCTTACGCGGGGATCAAACTGGAGACTAAGTGCTGAATGCACAGGCGGAAGAGGAGGGGGAGGAAGGGGGGAAAGACGAACCACGAACGAGTGAAGGGGGAGGAGGGGGGGGGCCTGTCGTAGGGCATTGCGAGGGGAGTGAGTAGTGTCCAGGTGCAGCTACTTTTTCCTTCCTCTTTCGGTAGGTGATTCTTTGTCTTTTGCAATGTGTGTCATCCCACTCTCTTTAGGCGGGGTGGCGATAACCTCACTACATGTAGATGGCTAGAAGTGGAGTGTGGAATCTGGCAAGCAAGAGGACTTCATCCACTTCATCGGCTATATCTAAAAACTGACATCCATACGCGGCACATCCAACATCAACGTCAACATCACGTTAATATCAATTTCATAACACATACAGAACAATACAAAATATATAACATCATATATCCAACATCGTAAACCTTTAAACTCAAATAAAATCCAAACCCGCAAAACCATCCTTAATACCTCGACTGCGATGAATCCCATAACAGCGACGACGATGATGGTGATGGCGACAGCAGCGACGACGGCAGCAGCGAAGTCAGCCTTGAAGAGGAGGAGGCTGAGGACGGGGGCAGCAGCGATGGCTTGGAGGGGGTGGAGCTTGTGGAGGAGACCGTTGGGGGCGGCCGCCGCCGCGGTCGGGGTGAGGAGGTGGGGGGCAGTGCCCTGCCTTCTGAGCTCAGGAAGTGTCGGGCGATGCTGCTGAGGCTTCTAGAGGCACAGGAGGTCAGCTTGGTTGGTTTGGGGGGGGTTACAGGGCTGTGTGCTTGTGCGCGGGGTTGCTTATCCCGGGGTCGCAAATCCTGTGATGTGATTTTTGGTATTTTTGTGATTGGGGTTGTAGGCTCGGTATGGGTCCACCCCGTGAATGTGGTTAGCGTGTGCGTGACATATCGGCAGCGTGTGTGCGTGCCTAGGTGTGTGTCTGTTTTCCTGCCCTCCTGGCTTGCCATCCCATCGGACCGCTGGCTCGCTTGTGGGATTCCAGCAGCCGGTGCTTTGGACATCGGTTGGCAGTACCCTTAGCGTCTTTTGGCATGATATGATTTCCCCCCTTTCCCCCCCTTTCCCCCCTTTTGCCCCCTTTTTCCCCCTGTTCCCCCTTTTCCCCCTGTTCCCCCCTTTTCCCCACCCGCCCGTGGACTACACTGCAGTTCCCGCTGAACCCCCTGGACCACCTGACCTCGTTACTGGGTGGGGAGAGCCAGGTGGCGGAGATGACCGGGCGCAAGGTGCTGCAGGTCAGGAATGACGACGGACGCATCGTGTGCAAGGTAGGTAATGAGGCCCTCTCGAGGGCGTGTGTGTGTGGGGGGGGGATGAGGTGAGTGGAGGGGTGTGCCTGGTGGGTGCGCCTTGGCGGGCTGGATTGTAACCCTGAGCGTGTTGTTGTGCTGCGTGTTGGCGCGTGTGTGTGTGTGTGCTGTTGTGCTGCGTGTTGTTGTGCTTCGTGTTGGCGCGTGTCTGTGTGTCTGTGTGTGTGTGTGTGTGTGGTGGTGGGGGGGGAGTCCCAGGTCAGCTCGCGTCTGGGTCCCGCATGTGCATGGGGACCTCTCCCCCCACGCGCTCATCGCCGGAGCCACAATCATTAGGGACGCGGAATCACGCGAGAGGGGGACGAGTCCGGGCCTTTTAGTCCTGTTGTCCTGTTTGGGTCTCGCTCCTCTTTCCTGCTGCTTATTGTCGTCAAGTGACCGACACCCTCGCATATATTATATACCAGAGAATGGTGACAGCAGTAATAGGACCCGGGGGGGAGGGGGAGTCCGCGTGGCGCTTTGCTGATGTTGATTGAACACTTACCACGCCCTACACGCCCTACACGCCCTACACGCTCCCTGACTTTCCTTGGCCGTTGGCCCGCAGCAACGTCGTGATGACGAGGCCCAGAAGATGGTGAACATCGCCGAGAAGAACGACTTCATGAGCGGCCGTAAGCTGGTCGCCATCATCAGTGACGCCGCGTCCACGGGAATTTCCCTGCAGGCGGACCGGAGGTCAGTGAGATCGAGCGTGCGTGTATGTGTGTATGTCTGTATGTTTGCATTTGTTTGCTTGTGTCCAGGGTGTGTTGATTAGGGAGGGTGTGGGTCGGTTGTCCATGTCCCAACTTCCTGTATCCCCGGGTGCCGGCTGCTCTATGGTGGGGCGGAGGCGGTAGCGGCAACGTGAATTCCTGCCTGCCCGGCGTCTGATGCGTGCCAGCCGAAAGCATTTCCCTGATTGGCGCCGTCTGCTTGTGTTTTTCGTGTTCGAATCTTCGTGTATGTCTGTCCCACTCTTTCCTCGTTTATCGGTATGTTTGTCCGGTCAGGGTACCCAACCAGCGGCGGCGCTTCCACATCACTTTGGAGCTGCCGTGGTCGGCGGACAAGGCCATTCAGGTGGGTGGGTGGTAGTGGGGGGTGGTGGGTGGGGCGTAGTGGGTGGGGGGTAGTGGGTGGGGGGTAGTGGGTGGGGATGCGCACAGATGGGGCCCAGCCCATGGGGGTTGGGTGCGAGGAGGGTCGATAAGCTGGCGCGGGAGGAACCCCCGGGGGAGGAAAGCCCGGCAGGAAGGCAGGGATGGGGGGATGGGGGCCGGCCGCTGGGGCTTTTTCCATCTTGGGTGCGTTGCCCTGCCTTTGCGATTGCGGCCATTGAGCAGCTCCTCCTCCCCCGCCTCCTCCCCCGCCTCCTCCTGCGTAATCCCTCTCAGCGCCTTAGGGTCAAACATTGAGCTGAGGTCATAGAGCCCTGGTAGGCCCCTTTGCTTCTGTGGCGCTCATGAAACAAACGTCCCTGCCCGCCCGTTTATCCTCGTCCCATCACCATCACCCTCATCCCCACGTCCTCCGTGGTTGCGATTGGTCGGTTGCGGTTGGTCCCTTCTTGCAGCAATTCGGTCGCAGCCATCGCTCCAACCAGGCCTCAGCTCCTGAGTACTGCCTGCTGGTCACCAAGTGCGGGGGGGAGTACAGGTGCGTGTGTGCGTGTGAGTGGGTGGGTGGGTGCGTATGTGGGGTTGTGGGCCGGTGGGAGGTGAGCGCAGGTAGGAGTGTAATGAGCGCTAAACTGGAGTAGGAGGGGAGCATGTATTTGACTGGCGCGAGTAATCCATTTGACGTATTCCAGTCTATTGAACCCGTTCTTCATTCCGCCCTTCCTTGGCACCTGTGCACATGTTGCATGTGTTCTCCTGCGAGGTCTCTGGTTATATGTATGTATGTAAAATGTATGGTATGTACGTATGTATGCTCAGGTTCGCGGGTGCGGTGGCCAAGCGGTTGACCTCTCTCGGCGCCCTCCTGAGGGGGGACCGGAGGGCGCTAGGCGCATCAACCGACCTCAAGCCATACGACGTGGACAACAAGTACGTACGGCTGTACGACAGTACGGCGAAGGAAAGGGTTGAGGGAGGAGATTGTGGCGTTGCATGTTTGCCAGGAGGGAGGGAGGCAGGCAGGCAGGGGACGCGGCGAGGGTACAAACCTAAAGGAAAGGTTTTCTTCTTTGCTTATTTGCACATGGTGCCCCCACTACCTCTTATCTGCCATTTTGCCCTGCCCTGTTTCTTCCTTCCCTAGACAGCACTAAACACCTGACACGTGCGCGCGCGCGTGCGTGCGTGCGTGCGTGCGTGCGTGCGTGTGTGCGTGTGTGTGTGTGTGTGTATGAGTGCGGTCTCCAACCCGCCGCCGTACAACTAGGTTAAATCACCAGTCCGGGGTTTCCCCTCTCAAATCCCCGTTCGCCCTCACCCCCTTCCTACATCCCCTCCCAACCCGCAGGTACGGCGAGACGGCTGTGGGCCGGGTGTTGGAGTGCGTGTCTTCGGGCTTCCACAATGTGGCTGGAGCCAAGGTGTGTGCGTGGGGTTGGGGGTATTGGGGTTGGGGGATGGTATCATTGATGGGGGATAATAATACGGATGTAGACATGTGGATTACCCGTGTTCCTTCATTATATATTTATTACAAAAATGTATATATGTAATGTAATGTTACAGAGTGGGAGGCTTCTGGGCCGCTTTATCACATTGTCAGTTCTAGATCATTTATCACCTTATAGCACCATCCACCACTACCACACTGTACTTCGCCATACGAACTGTAAGTCCAAGGCGGCGGATCCAGCCTTCAGGGACCCCTCCTCATCCATTCACCCGAACACCCGAAGAGACGGAGGGTTCGGCAATCGCCACCAATCCAGCGTGCGAATCTGGTCCATCAACTGTGACCTCAACTCCACATCTCAGCAGCTAGCCATAATCTCGCGCTCCCGACTAATTCGGGGGTCTCCCCAGGAATCGAACCCAGGACCTTAAACCGCTAATTGCAGTAGTGTCAACCCAGACCAGACCATGTATATGTATATGTATATGTTCTGTTCCTGTTAAGAAGCGTCCGTTGCCGTGCTGTTCCGTCTCATAGCGCCCGGTCCACCATGTTGACCCCAAAACATGTTCGTCCTTGTTTGGATATTATCGGGGCCCCCTCCTGCCTTTCCTTTCCCTGTCCACCCCTTTCACCCTTTCACTCTTGAGAGCTTTCGGACTGTATGGGCACTTGGATCATCGCTTTGGACGTCTCCCCTGCGGCGAAGGTTTTGTCGTTGCATTTGGGCGTGTCGGGGTACAGCTAATTCCCCCTATGCTGCTCCTTGCGTACCACCACCACCACCACCATCACCACCACCACCACCACCATCATCATCATCATGTGGTTTCAACCCTACAAAAGTCTCCTTGCCATAGGTCGACCCCCTTAAACCCTCTCTTTACCGTGGCTCTCCCCCCCAATGTCCCCAATCCTCCTCCCACCCTCAGGTTGGCGAGCTGCCCTCCGAGTTGCTTCCCCCCGAGGCGGCCGGAGCTCCCCCGGGCAGCTTGCCGCGTCAGTCCGCCTTCCTAAAACACATGCAGCGCTGCCTCAAGACCATGGGCCTGCTGTCGGAAGTAGGGTGAGACACGACATGCCATGTCTTGACACGGCATCTTGACATGGCATAACCGAAAACACCCCTTTTTTCTTTTGCCAAACCCCCTCCCAACGCCCCCAAAACGAACAACCAATCCTCTTGACTCCACCCACCACGTGTTCACCAACTACTACTTGCAACAACTTGCCGCACAGGGGCGCGTTCATTGTGGAGCGCAAGGACACCAACACCTCCGTGGTCAAGTTCCTGAACCGCTTATTGGGTCTTCAGCTCCGAGACCAGGATATGCTGTTCCAGTACTTCTTTGGGATCATGGACAGCCTCATCAAGCAGGTAGGTGCCCTTTGGGACTACTAGCCGTGGTGGTGGTGGCGGTGGTGGTGGTGGTGGCGGTGTTGTTGTTGTTGGTGGTGGTGGATGTGGTGGTGGCGGTGGTGTACACTGGCTGCAGGGGCCAAGAGCGGGGTTGCAGGGGGTGGGGGAGACACCGCCGGGATACCGGGGGGGGCCCCGCAGCGTTGATGGAGAGGGTGAGGGTGAGGGAGAGGGTGAGAGAGGGCCGACCGGGCGCTCCGAGTTCGTAGCCCTGGCTTCGGGAGTCGGGAGAGTAGGAGAAATTCGGGTGGGTGGGTGGGCGGGTGGGTGGGTGGACTCGCCTCACCCTCCGTGACTGAAACCGTGTATTTCCCTTTGGGCCCCCCTAGCAACCTTCTCCTGGACTACCAGTGGTAGTCTACCACCCAAACATCTGCTCCATTCTCCAGTGGTTCGTCTCAACACTTCCACCCCCCCGCCAGGCCTCCTAATCTCCCGCCCTGCCCCTCATGCACCCAATACCCCGCCCCACCCTGCTCCCCTCTCAGGCTCGTTCCGCTGGCGAATACGAGGAGGGGGTTCTCAACCTGGTCAACAGCGCTGTCAAGGTGGTGCTGGAGCAGGCGGTGCATGTGGATGCGCCCACAGGTGCGTGAGGGGCGGTGGAGTGGGGCCATGGGAAGCGGGAGGAGGAGGTCGGGTGGGGATTAGGAAACCCCGGGCTGGGAGGGGTAGGTGGAGTAGGTTTATGAGTTAGTGAGCGGGGAAAAAGGAGGAGGTGGGGGCTCCGGGACATGGCATGATACGGGGCGGGTGTCCGAGCGAGAGCGGGCGGGCTGTGAAGTGATCTGAAAATACGGAGGGGAAGGAAAATGGCGTTGTGGAAGGATGGAGAAAGGGAAGTATGTGCTAGTGGCCTGCCGTGTTCAGCTTTCTTTTTCCTTTGTCAAGCGGTCCCCCTCTCTTTCTTTCCCTCTTTCTCTCTCTCTCTCTCCAGCATTGCTCATCCCCCCCCCCCCCGATGCATGTGCATGCCACATATGGCACAAACCCCATGCGCGTGTCCGTACGACAGGTGCTACAACGTCGTACATGGAGTTGGAAGTGGACGACGGGTTGTCGTTTGAGGAGGCCAGTCGGGCTCTGGAGGCGGTGCTGGCTGACATGCGGTCGGAAAATGCGCCGCAGGAGGCCATCAACCGGGTGGGTGGGGTGGGGTGGGGTGGGGTGGGCGGTTGCGTGTGTGTATTTGGCGGTAGGCAATAAGAAAAACGCCGAAACTCCCTTTCAACGCCCCTTACGCCCCTTTTTGGGGGTATTGTTGCAACCCCCTCAGCCCGCAATCCCCCAAACCCCCCCAACCCGTCAAACTCTCCCCCAACCCCCCAGGTGGGCTTCTACGTGTCCCGCCGTAACGCCAACGTGGGTGGTACGGGTCACCCCCTTGTCGTACTGGCCACTGCACTTCGGCGGACGGTGCTCAACTCCCGGGCCGCCCTCAGGTACCGAATTCAGCGACCCAATCAGGTGCGGGTGTGGGGGGGTGGGGGGGTGGGGATAGGCTGCTGGGCACTTGGTTGGTGTTGGGAAGCGGGAGGGGGTGGTGGGGTTTAGCAGCGGTGTTGTGAGAGTTACGTGAGACTTACTTGTAGGGTTCTCGCTGCAAACTTCTCCTTTGACTCCTGTCTCTGCGCTTCGCCCTTTTCATTCTCCTCCCCTTCCCCTTCCCCTAGCTAGCGCTCGGATATTCCCTTAACCTGGATTCCCCTAACACCCCCCTTCTTCCAAAACACTTCCTAAACCTCGAAAACCCTGGACTGGGTCCCCCCCATCCAGGTGAAGGGCCACGTGTTCACGCAGTACGAGCTGGATGAGAAGTACCGCAAGGTGGACCTCAAGGTTCGTCCGTATGTATGCGTGTGCATGTTAGAAATTAAAATGGGTAATGACAGTATTAACGTAAAGGGGAGATGCGGGCGGGGTAAGAGGAAGGGCACCCGTGTGTTTCTAAATGTTGCAGAGGAGAGGAAAGGGGTGTGTCTCCCTCCATCGTGCCCACTGGGTGCGGGTGCGTCCGTGTGTGTGTATGCGTGTGTGTGTGTTTCCATTCTCGAATTGAGTGTGCCGCTCTGTCCTCTCCACGTAGGGCGTCGGCTGTTGACCCCTCCATACCCCCCCCCTCCCCCCTCCCCCCTCGCCCCCCTTCCTTGCATGCAGGAGGGTGAGAAGCAGTGGCGGTTCTGGTACCACTACCTGGACCGGGGCTGCCTGCACGGCAATGACTGTGTACGCCGCAAGCGGGATGGCAAGTGCAGCTTTGGATCCAGATTTTACCACCTGCACATCGTATCAGGTGTGTGTGTTTTGGGGGGGTAGGTGGGGGGGGGGATGGGGTAAAGACAAATGAGCTGCGGTGAACCGAATTGAGGATAATACACAAAGTCACGAGTGGACTTGTCTTTTTGGGTGGTTAAGCGGTGAGGTTCTGGAGTTGAGGACCAAACAACGTTCACTCATTCCTTACCCACCCACCCGCCCATCCACCCACCCCACCGGTCCATCTTCAACCCCACTGCCCGCACCTGACTCCCCTCCTTCCCACACCGCTGGCCCCCCTCTTGGCACTAAGGTGCGCTGCTGCCGGTGCTTCGGAAGCTGTTTGACACGGTACTTAGAAGTGGCTCAACGAAGAAGGCGGCGCCGCGGGTGGCGAGGGTGCTGCTCAAGGACGCGGACAAGGACGGGGCCGAGCAGATGGATGTGGATGGCGTGGAGGAGGTGGAGGAGGTGGGCGGGGAGCGACAGGACGCGAGTGGCAGTGCGGCCTGGGGTAGCGGGGCTGCGGCCAGGTCGGGGTCAGGGTCGGCGGAGGGGCGGGTGGTGGTGGGGTTGAGCCTCACGGAGCGCGACGCACACGCGTTCTTGGCGGCGGCGATGATGTAGAGGGTTTAGTAAGAGGATTTAGTGCGATAGTACTGCACTGCGCACACGCTGTACGGTATTCTTATGTACGGGTGTACGGCAGGGTTTTGGGGACGTGGTGTCTGGAGCTGTGGGTTGCCTAGGACGGCGTCTCTAGCAGGCTGAGAACAGAGTTGTAAACGTGTTAAAAGTTGGTGGTGATAATGATGGTGGTGGTGGTGGTGGTGGAGCGGTGATGGTGTGTGGAAAGCGGTTGGTGTGAGGAATAGAAACCGTTGGCGAAGTTGGGAAAGGCATGGCCCGGGTGTGCCGAGCGGCAGGGGAGTGGTGCGGGGGTAAACCCGTCATGGAGCTGTAGCTGGTGATCGTGCGTCGGTGTGTGTGTGTGTATGTGTCTGTATGTGTGTGT